TGCTGTATTCTGAAGAGACTTTGCAGTTTATACTCATGCGCAGGAGCAGAATAACCCGAATGCATAGGTTTAAGAGGCTGGGAAAACAAACAAAGTCTGCAGCTTCACTATATCACGTGAATACTTCCGTATCACAAGTGAGTGCTGCAAGTGGGTTTTACTCTATAATTTCCTGCGTATTTTTTTGCCTGCGGCTGTTTCACAAATAGGTAAGCTCGTTTATTTTTCTGCGCGTGCGACGTACTCCTTCGCCATATCGAGGACTTTAGCCTCGTTCTCTGGTGTGCCGTACTCCTTCTCGAACTTCAGGAATGTCTTGAAAATGCTCTTAACAGCTGCCTCTGGGAGCTCTGTGGAGGAGACGGACTTGTGCAGGAGGTTTCTTGCGTACGCGACATCCGCACTCTTTTCAATGCTTCCAAGCTCCAGGGCGATGTACTTGATTGTCCACTCCTCCTTCGCCTTGTTCTCCACCTTTGCGATCTTCTTCTCCATTGCGGCTCTTCCCTCGTTCTTAGCGATGTGATATAGTGTCTCTGCGTGTGCCACTTCCACTGCCTTCCTGTCGGATGCCTTCATCTCCGCCCTCTCCAGGAGGCTCACAACCGATGCAAGTTCTGCGGTGCTTCCCTGCCTCTTCGCCCCGAATATGAGCTCCTTATATCCGAACGGGGATTCGCTCTTCTCCCGCACAAATCTCATGCAGAGTTCTCTGTGGAGGTTTCTGTTCTGGGAGTTTCTTGCGGTGTCGATTGCCTTCTTCAAGAACGTGCACCCGTCTCTCTTCACTCCCTCGTCGATTGGAGCCAGCGTCTTCTCCGTGAGGGCTTCGCTTGTTTCTCCGAGGAGTCCTGCGTAAATCAGGCACATCTCCTTCTTAGACTCAGGGGACTGCAAGTACGCGAGGGCCTTCTTGAAGACCTTCAGCATCTCCGCAGGGGGGGCATTTTGCATGCGCCTTCTCCACGGGTCTACTCCGTCCTTGCTGTTGAAGAGCTCCATCTGCATGTTCTCGTCGTGCTCTGAGTCCTCGCTCTCGCTCTCGCTCTCCTCCTCGTGTGCGTATGCGAGGGGTTCCTGCATGTGCTCTGCCTGCTCGTCTCTTGCCTCCTCTGCGGGTGCTGCCTCGATTGAGCTGAGCACTTCGTACTTCTTGATCGAGCCCTCGAGTTTTCCTGCCTCGTAGTCGATGTCGAAGAGGACTATTTTCACCCTCTGCCCTACGTGCACGAGAGTAGCCCAGTCCTGGACGAATCTGCTGCTTATCTCCGCAATTTGCACGCGAGCCACGACGTGCTTCGATATTTGCACGAATGCCCCGTATCTGTGGATGTTTATGATCTTTCCCGTAACTATTTGCCCGTTTTTGAAGGCTTTAATTTCCTTAAGGCGCATTTCGTCTTTTTTCTTCTCGTGGGCCTCCCTCTCCCCGTGGGCCATGTCCTTCCACAGGACTCTCTTCTTCCGGGGCTCCTTCAGAAGGTCTCTCTTCTTCGCGTGCTCTCCGACTGTTTCCATGTACTCCCTGGGGATTTGGGTTCCCTTGAAGGAGTTCTCTGCCGAGGCAAGCTTTTTCACGTGGATGTAGTGGACTGCTCCCACCTCCGGCACGGAGTACTCCGTTCTCTTGATGTTTATGCAGACTCTTCCGAAGGTACTGCACACCAAGTAGTCATCTCCCACTCTCCGGACGACTCCCACGACTCCCGTATTGATCTTTGGGGGGACCTGCACGTTCTTCGCGTTTATAAGGGACTCCTTCGCCGTAACGACAATGGAGTATCCCCACACGTCGTAGACTCGCACGGTTATCCTCTCACCAACTGAAAAGGGGGGAAGAGATCCCTGCCTGGAAATATCCGAAAAGTGGTCATCGTACAAGACTGCGTGCATCACCTCGTCCAAAACGATCTTTGCTACCCCGTTTTTCTCTATGCTGCGGACCTCTCCAAGGAAGACTTTTCCGACAAGGTCTGGGCTCGGGAGGTTTTTGTGCACTTCATTGAAGTACTCTTCGTACGGGACTGCGTGCACGAGGGATTTATCCTCCGAGACAAACGCAATAATTGACGTGTGCTCGTCATCCTCGTTCAGCTCCTCCTTGCTCTCGACTATGATGCTTCCCAGGCCGAGTGCATCTGCGGTGTACGAGTAGTACATCTTCGTGTACTTCGGCCTCTTGTCTCCGAGGATGTACTTTGGTCTTCCCGTTATTCTCGTCCTAACGACAACTCCTGGGGAAACTTCCTCTTTTCCTCCGATGTAGACTTCCCTGTCGACACTATCCCGGAGAAGGTACGTGGAGCCAGCGACTGCTGCAACCTGGAAGACTGCGAGTGCGCCTTTCTTGTGCTTCTTCTCTGTCTTCACAATAGCTGTTTTTCCAGGTAGACCCAGCGCAACGGAGTATCCCATCTCCTCATCCGCCTCGATGAGTCCGGTCACTATAGAGTCATTCTTCACAGATTTTTGGATGAAAAACGTGCACTCGTACCTTCCCTCCTTCTCGCCGAGTATAAGAAGCTCAACGCAAAGATCCCTGGAAAAGTGCGGAATCATCCTCTTGGTGCTAATTTTAAGGGATCTTTCGTCCATCTCGAGATCGTTCTCTATTGCCTTCTTGTGCACCACGCCAACTCTGCCGTTTGGAAGCCTAAATGTAAGCCTGTCTGCCTTCTCCAGATAGAGTGCTCCGATTACACAGGATCCCACAGGATACACTATTTCGTCTGAGTCCAGCTTCTCTTTTTTAACAGCTCTCTTCCCGAATAAAATTCTCGTCATAAAAAATATTCAGTTGCTTGTAATTATATAGAATATATCCCAGCAAAATTTGGAAAAACTTTTTATGACCTCGCGCCCTTCTGATTACGGCCTTAGTTTTCCCATTTACGCAGAGATACTGCAGACGGACTCTTTTGTGGAATGTATGATGAATAACCACTTTCAGGTGGTAGTTTTTGCTGCAGTATTTGGAGTGATATCACTCGCATACTGCGCCTTTTTGCTGCTGCAGACACGGGCTGATGCCAGTCGCTCGGAGGAGGACGAGGAGGAGGCAAAGATGAGAGGCCGCCTGATTCGGGCTATCCTCGCTGAGAAGCAGGAGGAAGAAGAGTCTGGGATCTCCCCGGAAAAGAATCGGGCAGCCGGAGAGCCTGAGGATGCGACTGAAATGCAAGTGCTTTTTGAAGGATCTAACCCCCAGGAAAAGCACGTCTCCCCGACGTTCACAGAGGGAGAAATTGAAGAAATAGTGCGAGAAAGCAGGAGTCTATACACGGTGGAATTCCCCATTTACACCTCCCTGGCCAGTATTACGCCCGTACAGAGGCTCATGATCAACCAGGTAGGATGCTTCTCCCTGACGATGCTTTTCTTCCTCGTGGGGTACTACTTTCTCCCAGTTTTCCTGCACATGGAGCAAGTCTACACTGAGAAAAGCCTCAACAGCTTCATCGATGACTCCCCCCTGGAGACTGCGTATACGAACTTCACCCAGCTAAAAATTGCAGTAGAGAGAAAGATCCCAGAAGTGAATGGAGTTCCTGCAACGAAGGAGGCACTGGAGAAGGCAGAAACGTGGTTTTCCGTCCTGAAGGATATTTGCGTCTCGAGCAAGTGCGTGCAGTATTTGCAGGTCTTTGACATAGACAGCCTGGAGGAGTGCAGCTACAGAGACCCTGCGAAAGCCGAGAAGTTCCTGGGGGTCTTCGAAGAGGCACTCAGAATCACTGCTGACTCCGTGGAGAAGGCAAAAAAACATCTGGGGGAGGACGATGTGAAAACTCTCCTGAAAACACTTAAGTCCAACTTTATTCCCGTGTACGGCATTGCAGCGTCTGATCAGACAGTCGATGGAATAACGCATATTCTAGCGCACAGTGTCGCTGCGCTTATGGAGAGGGATTTGTCGAAGGTTCGCCCCGAGCTTTCCAGCGAGTTCCAGTCTGTTCTAATTGACAGTCTCTCGATAGTCCTGGAGAAGGCAGATGAGACCTTCTGCGGAATGCTCGATGCAGTCGTAAACGGGGAGAGTCCAGAGCGTGTTTTGGCGCTGAAGGAGAAGTGTGTGCGCACGCTCTCCCTCCTGCGGGGGCTGAAGGAGGGGGCTTTCCATGGATTTGCATCTGGTCCTCAGATTGCGCTGATGGACTCCGTTGCTGCGAACCTGGAGAGTCAGAAAGTGGCTACAGAAGCCCTCGTGAAGTTTGTGGATGGGTTCCTGGGGATTTCCATGCAGGATTCTTCGTGGGAGAAGAGTTTGAATGTGGAGTTTCTTAAGAGCGTGCACAAACAAATCATAAAAACATCCGGGGATCCCCCACTCTCAGCACACTTTTGGGAGACGATTGAGGGGCTGGTGAAAGACCCGAATTTTTCGTACCCGAAAGAGTTTCTGCGTGAGATTTCTATGACCATAAAAGACAGCTGGCTCCATGGGAATACGAATGGGAAGTATTTGGAGTATGTTGCGGCGTTCTGCATAAACAGAGGGAATCTCCGCCCCCCTTTCCAGGCGAGGGTGGAAGACGCGAGGAAGAATCTGAAGATGATTATTGAGCTTGGGAGGGATATAAGCACTCCGAGCCTTGTCAAGCAGCTCACAGATGCATTCGATACAATGGCCAAGCACAAAAACACGGGGAAAGACGCAGAAAAAACTGTGCTTTTTTTGAAAGAATTAGTACACTTTTTGTTCCTGTACACTCCGGAGCAGGAGGAGAGAAACAGGGCGGAACTTTCCAGGATGCTGTGGCAGCTCGTGAAGAGTCGGGTAGACGCATTTGCCAGCACGGACTCCACCTCCTGAGTGGGCTGCAGCATATATCTGGAGTATAGACGCGGATTTGTCCGTTATTTGAAGGTTTGCTGGCGCCTGTATAAAGCCACGGTAGAGTATGCGCGTTTAAGCGTTGAACCGAGTGAATAAAGGACATAATTCTGCAGGATTTACCCATTCTCATACTGCACTTTTCAGCGCCCAGCAGGCACGGCAGGAATTACTCTTTATTTGTTGCTGCCTGCCCATATAGACTATCCCCGTTCTTCATATCCGCAGCTACTCCTTCACAGAGCAGTCCTACTATAAATCTAGTCGTAATTCTTCTGGAAGTTCTAAGTGAAATTCACAGTCTTTATTGTTTATTCGAGCGCTTAGATACTTATTCGGGCTATTCTAGTTGTAATTCTTCTGGAAGTTCTAAGTGAAATTCACAGTCTTTGTGGTACACCAGTAGCTTGTATCCCACAACTCTGAGCATTATATTTTTAATCAAATTGAGCATAGCGGATCGCATCAACCATCAATTTGATGGCGCACAAAAGTATAAATACATGCACTAAAAATAAAAAGATGGATTT